CATTTTAGTAGATCCTGTTTTCTCCTCTTGGTGCTGCTTCCTATTTTTATTTGATTCCATGAAGCTGGTTCATTGTAAGTTTTACTTGGTGGCTGCTCAACAGGAGGGAGGTCTGAATGTCTGTACCCTTCATGACACTGTCTCCTGTCCTCTCCTCTCCTGACTGAGCTGCAGTGACCTGCTTGCTGCCTCTCCTCCCTTTCATCTGTTCTTCCTACCACACTGCCAGCAGGGTCTTTCCAAAATATGACAGTGATGATCAAAGCCTATGCTACAGCTGCTGGCAGGGTCAGGCCCATGTTCCAGGTCTCTGATGAGGCACCCCTACCTGTCTTCTTGGGTCCACTGGCCACATTGCTTAGTGACTTTGGCCTGAGGTAATGAGTAAGGGGGCTTTCCTTGTTAAAAGCAGATGGGCTCTAGCAACCCGAGGCAACCACCCTATCAGAGGGCATGAAAGCAGGGCATAGAGGGAGAGCCCTAGGAAACTGAAGACAGACTTCACCTGCGTCACAAGGAAGACACAGCCCAAACCTTAGAATCAGGACCCTCCAGTCTTTGCCTTCTTGTGCTCCTGCAGGCCACGGTTCACCCATCAGCCAAATGCCCACTTCATTTCTGAGAGTTCCAGTGGAAGGAGCAGTTTCTGATGCAGGAGATCTTACCCCTGTGATCTTGCTGTGTGACCTCAGAGCCTTTGGGTGCAGTAGTGTCTTGTGGGATTGTCATGGCGATTAAAGGATGAGTTTATAAACTGGCTCTGTGGTTATTTTTATTACCCCTACCCATTCTGCATGTTCTGGAATTTTCCCTCCTTTTTCCACGTGAAATCTTGACTACCACTAGCTACTTCCCTATGAGGTCTTCTCCGAACTTCCCAACAGGAATTCATCTCTCTGTGTCTCACACCAGGCAATCTGGTACCTTTTTTGTTCTCCCTTACAGTTGTCCCATTATGTGTAAAGCATGAGCTCTTGGGCACCAGGACAGTTTGTAGGCCCTTTTATGCCCTGTTCCTCTGTCCCCCCCACAGGGAGTTGTTAAAAGCTCAGTAGCAGTTGGTCAGTGGACAGTAAGTGGGGACAGGTATGGCAGTTTCATGGAGTATTTGGGCTGGAGACCTGTCCCTCATCCTGGCTTCTTGGACTTCTTTTCACATGGGTGTGCTTTTGTAAACTCCATCAGTGCCTCTCGAAACCTGGCACATTTTTTTGTGTGTGTGAGCCTTTGCAGTCAGACAGATCAGGCCTTGCCCAGTCAGGTATTCCCCTGCACAGATGTTGAGCCTTTTCTCTTGCCAGTCACATGCAGTTCCTTCATCCTGGTGCAGATGTCTAGAAATCCAGAGAGACCTGTTAGGCAGACCACTTAGGAACAGGGCATAGTAGAAGGAAACCAGGAAGTCACTGTTATTTTAATTTTTGCTGAAATCTGGATATAATAAATACACTGGTGCATATTCCAGAATTAGCACGTATAGCACATATAAATGATTGCTTTTGAAGATTAACTTTGATCATCATTTTGGACCTTTGGCATATTTCTTTTCTGTTGACATTGCCTTGTAGAACATGGTGCTCACTGGCTCGGAAGGCAGTTTCCCTCCATAGACTGTGGCTCAGACATCACAGCTGGAGGCTGTGGTGAGGCTGTTTGGCCTTATGGCTTTTCATTGCCACAGGACACCATCCTCATGTGCAAGCTCTGGGTATTCCTGCAGAGGTGGTGATAGGACAGGTTGGCAAGGGTCCTTTTCTAGAGCACACTACTGGGAGCCACCTTTTGCCCCCCAAGCCAGATGGTTTTCCTCTCCTCCATCTGCCCCTCAAGAAGTCATGAGACACACAGTAACATGAAGTGCACAGGACAGTGCCATTCCTGGGCCAAAACAAGCAATGTCACTTTGTTGAGTTTGATAAAGAAAAATCTTGATGTCTGTGTAATTAAGAACTGACATATAGAGTTAGAGAAAAGCAGGTGATAAGAACTTGATCTTGGAGTAGTCAGACAGAGATTGGGAATGCTTTATAATTGGCATAATTTCCTGCTTCAAGGAGCCATCCCCCAGGGAGTCCAGAAGAGACCTCTAAGATGAAAGGTGACTCTCTGTGGGGCACTGCACTGGCTGTTGTACTGGGTCTGAAGGAGTCTCAGTGTGTGGCGGTGTGGCTTGTTGTAGTTGTGCTTGTTAATTGTTTGCCCTCATCCTTCAGCACAGTTTAGATAGTTAGCAGTAGCTTGTTAGCTAGCTCTGTTGAGCCTGAACTGAAGAGCCCTTCCGACTATCTTTTAGAAAGCTCTGGAGAGGATGGAGTTATAGTATTGGGATCCAGGGTGGGCGAATGAGTGGCGGCAGCACCTCTGGGGCAGCTCTTGGAGCAGCATTTGCCTCCCTGAACATCCCTCAAGTCTAGAATAGGTACAGTGACACTGAGGATTTAAATGGTCCCTTTAAAACCTCGTCTCTACCACCTGAACCTCTCATACAGGATGACCAGTTGGTGCTCAGTACCCAGGTTTCCTGATAGCAGCCAGCAGAGGTAGTGTAGGCAAGAGCACAGGAATTATTGGGGACACTCAGTCCTATGTCCTGCAAGTGCCATTCTATGGCTGGCAGTAATTTCTAACCAATGGCAGGATATTGTAAACCTCACAACCAGATATGGCCCAGAAAAATCTTAAAAACTAACTGCAAAAAATAAAATCAAAGCTGGTTCAGAGGTGGTATGTTTTGGCTGGGAATAAGCTCTCCTGCTCAACTTGCTCTGCCTTGATAGATGTCTGTTACTAGTTTGGTTTTTCCCCAGGAGCTACTTGGCATCTTTTAACTTTTACTTATAAATTCCAGGCAAAATCATTTTGAGAGCTTTTTGGAGTTTTTATTTGCTAATTAAAATGTGAGAAGGGAACACAGCTACAGGTAGAGTTCTGGTGCAAGCCACAGCTGTGATTAAAAAAAAAAAACCCAACCTGACAGTTTCAAAATGAAGTTATTAGCACTTCACCTCAAACTGTGATTGCTTTTAACTTTCATGATCTGTTTCTTAAGCACCCCGCACCCCTGCAGTACCCAGAAAAAGGGAGCCAAATGTGCAAGGTAGATGGTTCCTAATCCACAAAGATAAGCACTAGTGCTATGCAACTTTTCCAGCTGATAAGTATTACTTTGTCATGTCATTTTCCAGTGACCATGAGATAAGGTAAGGGGTGTGTTTTACAGACAAGAAAACTAAGGCTTAGGGATTCAGGTGACCTGTCCAAATTCGAATAGTGAGGAGGAGCCTAGTCCAGAATAGAGCCTGGGCTGCTTGAGTCTGAGATGCCCTGGATGCTTCATAGACTTTACTAATGCCCTGGACTTCAGTAGCTCCCCATGGGAAAAAAATATTGGATTACAGTTTCCTACCACTTGCAAAATAATGAAGTACAATCTGTTCTGATTCTGAAAGCCATCAGCAGCCAATAGTCTACCAAGCCCAGTTACATATTCCTAAGGACTCCCACAGCATCTCTGTCCATCACAGCATACACTGACCTGGAGGTTTGTTTTTATTCACAGCCTGGGTCTGAGCTAGCAGCGGAACCACTGAGCTAAATCCCCAGCCTGAGTGAGCTGTAGGGTAGCTTTGCCGCCAGCATTTTCCCAGAGAAGTGGAAGGGAACCTTTGCCAGAGTGGCTGGTGCCCTAACAAATTGATTCTTGCCAAACAATGGAGATAAATATTTTCAACAGACAGAAATTTTGGCTCCTAAAGTGTTCAAATTAAAGGCTTATTTCTGAAACAAATACTTTAGGAGGAAAACATTTTTAACCAGTGTAGATGAGATCAGGGTTATTCCTTTTGGCAGTGGCATACTTATTTTGAGATTAAAACACAATGGCTTCCCTGTCCTTGTCTCATTTTTTAAACTGATGCCACCCCACCCCACCCGTGTTTCTTGGAGAAGGTGTATTCAGACGGAGTATGGGGAAGAGGTGGTGAGTGGTTTTCTGTGGAATCACCCAGATCTGGGCTCATATCTCAGCCCCACCCCATCCTGGGTGATTGGACAAAACCAGACACCCACCTAATCCTTATTTTCCTGCCTGAAATGGTATGGCAGTGTTTGCTTAGCACTGGCTACTACTGTTAACCCTCAAGACCCTAAGTGTCACTAGACGGCACCACCTGCTAGAACTCCCTGTGCTGATGGGACCATCTCCATATGAATCATCAGACACAGTTGCCACTGGCTACCTGTGACTACTGACCCTTTTAAGTTTGGCTGCTACTGCTGAGAAACCAGACTTTTTATTTCATTTACATTCACACAGCACCCTGCAGCCAGGGCTCCCATTTTGAGTAGTAGGGTTCCTGTATGTGTTCCTCATTTGAGTCTTGAGTAATTGGTTGTCTGGTCAGCCCACTAGAGATCTCTCAGCTCTGTGGCTTCTCCATTCTGATGTAGCTGTGGAGTGTGTGCTTATATATTCACTCTGGCATCTAGCTTGGCCCTACAGCCAGAGCAGCAGTGTGGGGAGAGGGCCTTCTTTGAGCTAGGCAGGATAATGGATGTATGAGTTCTGAATCCCCAAATAACCTTTAAGGACTGATTCTCTTTCCTTTCTTTCCTTCCTTTATCTCCCCTTTCCTTCCCTCTTCCCTCTTCCCTCTTCTCTCTTCCCTTTTCCCTCCCCCTTCCTGTTTTGAGACAGTCTTACTGTGACCTTGAACTTGTGATCCTCCTGCCTCAGCCTCCTGAGCATTGGGATTAGACTTGCACCATCATGCCCAGCCAAGGAGATTTCTTAATTTAACAAGTTTTTGTTGTTCTTATAATTTATATGACAGTAGATAATATGTATTAAGTATGTATCACATCATTGTATACACTTAAGAGTCTATAATGTATAAAATTTGCCTTTACAAAGTGAAAAAGGTATAGTAAAAACCATGACACCAAAGAAGCTGTCCTTTGGAGCATTTATAGCAGTGACAGGTCACATGCATGTAGGTCCTCAGTTTCCTTGTTTGGAGACCACAGCGGTGAAACTCCTGTGGCCATTTCTCTCCTAGGTTCATCTTGAGGCCCATAGGAGAGACAGTGGTCCCCTTTCCATTCTTCAGTGTGGGTGCTGTAGGGGGAGGTGGGTAGTGTGGCCTAGGGACACAGGAAGCGCATAAGAGTGTTCCGCTTCAACCCAGGAACAAGAGAAACCTAGGGAAAAAGCAGTAGAGAACTCAGGCAAATAGAGATGTCAGATACCAAGAGCAGACCCCCAAATGGTGCAGCTAAGGTCTTGAGAGCAGAGGAGGGTCCTGGGGCTCCTTGGGGAAACCAAAGATCAGAGCTCGGTGAGCTGCTATGCTTTGGAGCCCTTTGTGTCTGCAAGACAGAGCCTGCTGGCAGTGTTCATGTGGTTTTGAGATGTGGCCAGGAGGCAGCAGTGAAGCATTGTGCTTATGAAGTGGGCACTTTTGTAGCTCAGAAATGGTCCCCTATCAGGAATTTCATATGGTCCAATTAATTGGTAAAACAGAGTCCCCTCTTGGAGTTGAAAAGCATCATGCCCTTCCCTCCCCTGGTTCTGGCCGCCCGTTAGTGCTCTTAGCGACTCTTCTGTCTGATCCTCGTGTATTTCATTATGCATCCCGAGACACCGTCTCTCATGTCTCACTGTTTAAATGAGAGTCTAGCAAGTATTATATGTAGTGCAAGTCTTGGTGGATACATCTGGCATTTTTGTCTTTGCATAGTGGGTTTTTGATGGAGTGAAAAACAAAAAATAAAATATTGGCTCTCTATTCAAATTTCTCAGTCTTGAGGAATTCACAAAAGGATTTATGTGACAACTTTGTACTTAAAGCTTTTGTTAGGCTAGTCTATTTAGTTTTATTTGTCTTAACTTTCTGAAGAGGTAACATACTCACTTTGTCCAAAATAAAAGCTTTACTTGTATACTCACATACACTGAGAAATCTTGCTCCTACCTCTGTCTCTTTCTACTTTGTCCCGGTTCCTTCACACCATATTCCTCTGCCTCTGTTCTACCTCCTATCACTTTCTCCAAGCACTAACATCACTTTCCCTGATATGTGGTCAGTGATTCACTCACGTGGCCTTTGCCCCCAGACAGTAAGTGTAAACTGGATTCAACTGTTCTCTTAAATTTCTGAGATTGGAGTTATTACCAGGTCACTTCCCAAAATGAAGAAATAGTGAGTACACAGCAGACATGCAACACTGTTTTAAGCATGAAAAGAGTATGGGAAATAACCTTTATGTTTAGTGGGTTCAGGTAGAGTAGCACAAGGAAAAGAGAAACTGCCAAGGTCCCTCCTGGACTGGGCATTTATGTATTAGAGTGTCCTCATTGTAGGTTAGTAGCTGAGCCAGGTCACGGAGCTCTGGTGAGGTTCCTGAGGCTTACCCAGTGCTGAATCCCTGGATCAGGAACTTAGAACCTTTCTATTTTTTCCCCACTGGAGAGTAAAGTCCAGGCATGGTCTAAAACTCACATAATTGGAACAAACCAGGCCTTTTCTTGCTGTCTGATTTGGGGAGGGGGAGCAGTGCAGTTGGGTTTATCCTTAGAAGCAGCTTCCAAGTGGTGCCTGCTCTTTGCCCACTGTGGGAGTCATTGCTCCCCTGCAGATGTATGTGGGGCCAAGAGAACAGGAGTGAGAACTGTAACAGATACTCACTGGATTCCTATGTAGCTTTTTGCTGATCCTTGCCAGGGCAGGTAGCATTTGCACCCATCCCATAGATAAAGGGGCTTGTTGAAGGCCATATACTAATGGTCTCTAGGCACCCACCTCCATACTTGTCCCTCTGAGCAGGAGTTCAGTGCCTTTCCCTCTCCACCACCCTGCTGCCACCTCCTCCCGCTCCTGGACCCAGGACATTATCTCTTCTTCTCTGGTGTGCTGGGGAGTGGAATCCATTGAGGTAGGACTATCAAACTACAATATTTACAGTCAGCCACTGTGGCCCCAAGATCAGGCCAGGAGGAGTCCATTTGCTCATCAAACCCTAATCTCCATGGAAAGGAGAAAACAGCTAATTGCCCTGAACAGAGAGTCTCAGCAAAGGTTGAAGGGCATAGTGTTTCTTATTTAATACCTCCTCCCCAACCCAGATCACTGGAAAATGAATCTCAAGGCAGACTTATTCACACACCACTCTTGCCTGTGTTCTCTGGGTTGGAAATCTCAGAGAAACTAACCCAGCCAGCTTACTGGCCTCCTGCCAACTCAGGCAGTGTTTACTGAGCAGGTACTACATGCAGGGTTCTGTCCTGGTATGGCCAGGAACCAGAGTTGCCCTGCCCTGCCCTAGGGAGAACGGTTGGCATTCCCCCTAGATTCACTTCTAGAGTCTGCCTTCTCAGGGCTGCTGGGGTACAAGATGGAGTAGATAAAATCCCTTCTAGCAGGAAGTGTCTGCCCTGCTGGAGTTCACTTTTCTAACCCCCTTGTTTTGTCTTGCTCCTTTGTATATGGTGGAACCATAATGACATTCTGGCCCAATTGGCACCAGAGGCAGGCCCTCTGTAGTCTTACTGTCCTTATTCTTAACAAGTAGCACTGTTCTGAGGCTCCACCTTATGTCTTGTGAAGCTGAGCTAGAGGCTGCGAGACCTTAGAAGCTGACTCCATCACCCCATTTCCTTTCTGCTCAGCCCCCATGGCCTCCTGCATCATCTCAGACGTCTCTGCACCCACATACAGCACAGACTTGGGTGCTATTTTCCTGCAGCTGCCTCTCCCCCATGGGAAGCCTGGCTAGTCCTTGAATTTGTCCTGTTTTCCTTTCATGGCTCTCCCTACCTGGTTGCTTCCCCACCCCACTCTCTTTCTCAGGGGACCAACTCTGATGCTTCTGTCCCCATAAAGCTGTTTCTTTTTTTCTCTCCCAAGCAAACATAATCACTTCTCCTCAAATCCATTTTGTATTTTTTTCTGGACTTCTTTTACAGCAGTTCGTATATCTTACCTCACCTTTCCCCACTTTTAGCTTATTCTTTTATTTAGCAAGCATCCCCTCCTACCTGTGATATGCCCCAGTGCCTTGCAAAAGGCTGGTATCCCTTTGTGGGCAAAATGCAGAAGCTTGGGGGAAGCAGGGGAGCTAGCTGTCTAGCGACACAGTGGAGGCCGGAGTGCCAGGTTAAGGCTAGAGGTCCTGGATGGTCCTACTAGGGGCCCCCAGGGATACCACTGAGGGCTGTGTAAGAGAGTGACAAGTTTTTAGGGGGCTTTGATGTGGTGTGTCCCCTTTCTTAGAGGGGTATTGTTTCTGGATCACTTTACAGCCCCCCACTATATGGCCTTAGGAGCAAAGGGGCTTCCTCCTGGTCAGATTTCCCAAGAAGTTCCTTGTGCACATCCAGTGTACCTTGCTGTAGCATCTTCTTGTCTGCTCTGAGTCCAGTTTTTCATCTTCAGACATTCCCTTTCCTTCCTGCCTCATGTTGAGCTCCTGACCCCAGTTCTCTGCCAGGTCTTTAGGAGCTTATAGTCTGGGGGTAGTGTGTGGTCAGGTAGTTCTGGTGCAGGTCTTCCCTCTAACTGGCCCAACTATGCTACTGATGGCTGTTCCAGAGGGTCTCCATTGATGGTCATCCTGATTCCACAGCACTGTGGTTTCTGAGTTAGGGTGTCCACTCTGACTGCATGTGTAGCAACATGGAACTAAGGACCACAGCCTGAGCTGTGAGCTACAGGTTGTATGGGGGAAGGTGGTGGGTGAGCTTCAGGGTCTGTAAAAATATATGCAATTGGGGAGTCACACTTGGTGTTCCACTTATAAAATAATGATATGTAAGTGGAAACAGTGATGTTGACTTTGGGGACTTTGAGATTCTCCATTAAGTGGAGGCTTTTGTGAAGAGACTGTTTGGCTGGGGGCACCTAGCTGGGAATGAGGTCTTCCTAGGTCCTTGGAAGCCTAGTACTTGTTATAAGGAAAGAGAGATTTCAAAAGAGAAGTGTTTACTTTTTAGTAGGCAATACATTTATGTGCTCACATAGAGACATGGAAGGCCTTTCAAACTTCCAAGAGAGTGCCCTCCATTCCCTCTGTATGGTAAGGGATTTGATGCTTGTGAAGCCTTCAGAGAACTCCTCTGTGGCTGTGAGGGCAATCTAGCTGTGACATCTGTCACCCATTGATCGCTAGGGTTGATTCAGCTGATCCAGCTGGCTAAGCAGGTAACTCCTTCCCCCCTCGTTGCTCCATGTGTGTCCCTCTGGAAGCTGTGTGCTCAGTTGAAGAGGATGACCACCCCTGATAGAGAAGGACTGTTTCCTTGGTCAAGGGTAGGCAAGTAGCTATGTTCCCCTGCTAAAATCTCTAGTCAGGCTCTCAAGAGAACTCCTCTGTGCCTGTGTCTATGCATTAGCAATGGGTAGCTCATCACTGTAAATGTACCTGCTTCTGGAGATGGTTTTTGCATTTCTAATTGAGCACAACTCCCCCTCCTGCTTGTCTGTCCACATCCCTTTTAGTCCCTGTCTACCATGTCAAAGACATGCTTGCTTCTGCTCCACATTGCACTTGGCTGTGTCCACACTGTCTGCCTAGGCATCTGTGACAAAGCTCCTTATCTTCCCCTGTGGTAGATGATAGGGACTAAGCCCACTAGTCCACAGACCCCAGTGAAAATGGGTGTCTTTCACAAAACCTTACAGACCTTTTCTGCAGGAAGGATTTTCTCTCCTCATCTCTTCCTCTGTTTTTGTCCCACCAGCTTGGTTCCTTCTGTCTTGCTGGTCTTTCATACTTACCTGGTTTCCTTTGCTGGATCACGAGCATCTGCCAGTCAGGGTCAACCTCTGGTTCATCTGAGCATTCCCAGAGTTCCCACTTTGGTTGAGAATGCTGGTAGCAGAATGAATTTGGGGCTGTGGCTAAGTGTTTGGCTCTGATAGTACAGAAAAATTAACCTTGATGTAGCATTTATGGCACTACGAATTAAGATGCATCATCTTAATTATCTCCAGAGAAGGGAAGTCTTTTGACCACAAGCAACCGTAGGGATGTATCCAGGGTTTTCTAATGTTGCCCTATAAAAGATGACATGTTTCAGTTTTTATTTTTCAGTGCTGGGGATCCAACTCAGGGCCTCACATGTTCTAGGCAAGCATTCTACCACCAAGCCATACCCCCAACTCCAGACCTTAGGAGTGAGGTGTGTGTGTGTATGTGCAGGAAATGATAGGAGGCTGGTAGGTGACTCTGGGCCCTCACCATTTCGACCCAGAACACCTTCTGTTTGTCCAAATCATTCTGTTATTGGAAACACAAAAATTCCCCATAGACTGCCCATGCAGTAACCCTGTTGGCCTTTCGCAGTGTGCACAAGCCATCCTAGTTTTAACAAATAGTCATTTAAAATTCCTCTTTGGGTTCTGTTGTTTGATGAGTTGACAGTCCCAAGGAACGTCAGTGTACTAACTCTTTGGATTAAAAGTAGACAGAATTTAGAGAGAGTACCTTGCTTGTATTGCCAGTGTCATGGCCCAGGGGCGAAAGTAGAGTGAAGAGACTCTTTTGCAGGCCAGAGAAGACTTACAATATCGGAACCTGACCTGTAGCTTGTAGAGAGTGCTCAAAGGCCTGACCTGGCTCTGAGGAAGACAGTCTCAGCAAAATTGGGGGAAAGGGGACTTGAAGGTACCCCTAATCCCTGGTTACAACACATACCTGACATATGTGCTTTTAAGCAGTTGTAGATTGATCATTGACATTAAGGGGCTAATTTTAAAAATGTCTCCCCAATTTATTTTAAATAGCTTGTCACATGGTAGTTTTTATCTTTAATACTTGGCTGAGAGGCTGGAGTCCCAGCAAAGGGAAACAGACTATTAGGAGGTGTGCCCTTTGAGATATGCGAGACATGAGAAAAGGCACTGCATAGATTCTAATCAGAGAAAAACAGGGCAGTCACCCACCATACACTGGCGTGAGGCCTAGCTGCTGCAGCCCTTGGATTCCCAGAGGAGGGGAGATGTCAGCAATCTGTCCCCTCAGTGAGAGCCAGGTCTGATCGCCTGGTGGATATTCCTGACCCTGTCTCAGCTCTGGAAGCTCTTCTGGAGCCCCAGTTTGTGCGGCAGCCTTGAGAGATGAAGAGAATGGCATTGATGGAGTCCACACTTGAGCCAGTGAGGCCAGCAAGTGCTGGGATGTGTGGTGGACCCAGCTGCGTGGCTGCCCAGGGACCATGTGGTTCCAGAGCCAAGGTCCTCCCTTGGACTTTGGCTTTCTGCCTGATATCTACCATTCAATGACTACATTGAACTAAAACCCACCCTTTTATGTTAGGCACCTGTCCTAGTCAGAATTTTCTCTGTAACTTTTCCAGCTCTTTTGACCTTATTAGAAATGCCAGGTTCAGAGTTGGTGGGTTTGCTGCCAGCCTTGCCACCTTCCCATGACCTGGGCTGTGGAGTCCAGGGTCTGCCTGCTCTGCCCTGGAAGATTCTATTTGGGCCTGATGGTGTTTCTGTGACCAGGTATGACTACTGCTCCCCTCGCCCTTGCCCAGAACCCAAGAGTGTCCAATGGGCAGGACATTGGACACGAAACAGCTGTTGTTTTCATACAATATGTGCTCACCTCACTTTTTTCGTGCTAGGGATCCAGATGGGGCCCAAGGTCTTGCACGTGCTAGGTATGCACTCTCACTGAGCTATACTCCAGCTCACTTTTTGAATTATCAGACTCAGACTGTCCACTCCAGGCCTTTGCCATCACAGATACACTTTGAGACCAGGACCAAAGGAGGCAAGTGTCTTGGATATTTCTATAGGTACATGTGTATGTACACTTTCTCATTAGCAGAGTTTTTGTTTTTATGTTTTTAAAACAGCACCTTGCTATGTTTATGTTGCCCAAGCTGGCCTCCAGTTACTGGCCTCAAGTGATTTTCCTGTCTCAGCCTTTCCATTAGCTGGAGCTATAGGTATGTGCTGCCACATCAAGCTAGCAGGATTTTTAAATTAATATATAGTGTCATTTTTCCAACTAGATAATAATGTGCACATAGCAAAAAATAGTCAAAAGGCAAGTACTGAGAAGTAAGTCACCTCCTCTCTGTTCCTCCTGAGGGGGAAGCACAGTTACAGGTTTCTTGTGTATCTCTTTGGAGATCACTGGGCCCTGTACTGGCACAGATAGGTAGATAGATAGATAGATAGATAGATAGATAGATAGATAGATAGATAATCAATATTTTAAGCAATGCTAAGGTTACCTTTTTCTTTTCTTTTTTTTTTTTTTTTTTTTTTTTTTTTGATTTTGCAGTCCGGGGGATTGAACCCAAGGGTGTTGTACCACTGGGCTACAGCCTAAGCCTTTTCTGTTATTTTGAGGCAGGATCTTCCTAAGTTTCTCTGGGTGTCATTGATCTTTGCATGTGTGGGTCTTGAGGACTATCCCATGCCATATAGTACATGCATTTTTTTAAACCACTGTAGAATGGCCCATGAGTAGCCATGTCACATACACTGTTTGCTGAACATTTTAGGTTGGGTCCAGCTTTTTACTCTTTGTGACTTAATGCCTTTCAGATGTGGGGACTGTCGTTGCTCCTGTTTATGTGTGATTTATAACTCACAGATTGAGGATTCTGTATTTTAGGCCCCCCTCACCTCTCCTCAACACATTAGATTCCCTTGTTAATGCGTCATTATATTTAACACTCTGAATACAGGCAGATTTATAGATGATAAGATGATATTTGGGTTATGTTTAATAGTCATCTCTTAGCTCTGCATTGTCCCAATACCCTGAGAAAGGAACTCTTTGGTTTCCTTCAAAAGGATTGGGCGGTAGTTTTGCTTTTAAAGGACTTGGTCAGAGTCTAAGCCTTAAATCTGACCAGGCCCATCTGGGGTGGTGGCAACACAGCAGATCTGTGGAAGCTCAGTCCCTCCTCCTCGCTGTGCCAATCTGTTTCTGTGGTGGCGGGTGGCAGCATGGTGTTAAATTTGGAGACCCCTGTTGGCACCTCATGTCAGCTCGCATATGTCTGCAAGCATGGGTCATGAAGCACAGTGGATCCCTGCAGAGTCCCC